TTAATTTTGTAACCGTGGTAAACTAGTATATATAATACAAGAGTAATATACTCTTTTGATCCCTGTGGTAGGTATCAATTTGCAAGTTTTGATCTAATTATTGAAAAGTTAATGCGAATGGCGGGCCTTTATGGATTTACAATTTATAACAGGTGTGGACCCTTAGCAAGTTATTATTAAGCCTCATTCTTTAAAGGGAAATTGACTCTTGAGGGTAACTAACTTTTGCGTTTGTACTCATTTGGTCCCTTTTCTTTTTTTTTGTATTCAATATACCATCGAACTTGTTGTTGGTGTTTACCATAGCCCTTTTGACCGGCTTTTGACCTGTGATAGCCGGTCAAAGGGTTATGGTGAACACAAACAACAAGTTCGATGGTATATTGAGTACAAAAAAAAGGAAAGGGACCAAATGAGAACAAACGCAACAGTTGGTTACCCTCCTGATTCATTTTCCCTTTACTCATTTACAACAAATTCCACATCATCTCCTACTGATATTAATGACTTTTTGAGATTCATTCTTGCTTCTCTTCAAAACATAACCTACGAAAGAACATTATTCATGCATGTATAACTTTGTAATGCACTTGAATATTTATTAGGGGAATCTTGATTAAGTAGGCGCATTTCATGACTACATTTACATTTTGTAACACTCAAAAATTTAAGCCAAATTTAAACTTTCAAAAACACGTCGAATTCGTCAAAACATTACAACTTTGTTTTCAAAATACATTTATATCATAGTTTTCCCAGAAACATAACACAATAGGAGGAGCTGTACGATCATGCTTTTGCCTTGCTGCGATCCCCTGAGGTACCTGAAATAATACACTGAAACTATAAGCCCGAGAGCTTAGTGAGTTACCCCCAAAATACCGATACACATACAGTCCACATAACCGTGTCACACGTTAACATATCGTAACAAACTGAGCAAAAAAGAACATAACGGGTCCACAACTTTACAGATTGGAATACCCCTGGGCCCACAGTGTGAGTATGGAATACCTACCGGGCCCTCAGCTCACATCTGGATTGCTACTGAGCCCTCAGTACGCATCTGGAATGCCTACCGGGCCCTCAACTCGTATCTGGAATGCCCCCTAGTCCTCAGTATGAGTCTGGAATGCTTACCGGGCCCTCAGATCATATCTGGAATACTCTAGGGTTTGTTGGCTACCGCACGGAGCAGTACAGCCTGAACCCATCCCACATAACATATCACATGTAACAGATAATGCACATACCGGAAATCAATCAGTATCACAGGTAGTCCTACAGTCCTACCCTCAAGCGTATCAACCTAGCATGCATAACTAACTTCGAATCAACATAATACAACTACTAGGATATCATCTCCAATGGGCCGGCCTTGGTGCCTTAGACCCCCTTAGTATAGTGAGGATAACTCACCTCGCAACTGTCGTCGGAAATAAGATAGCTCAACTCTCGGGTCCAACACGAACCCCACCACCTAAAAGTACCACACAACCTTTTTCATAAATCTCCCAAGGGGGTCTAAGGCACCAAGGTCGGCCCATTGGAGATGATATCCTAGTAGTTGTATTATGTTGATTCGAAGTTAGTTATGCATGCTAGTTTGATACGCTTGAGGGTAGGACTGTAGGACTACCTGTGATACTGATTGATTTCCGGTATGTGCATTATCTGTTACATGTGATATGTTATATGGGATGGGTTCAGGCTGTACTGCTCCGTGCGGTAGCCAACAAACCCTAGATTATTCCAGATATGATCTAAGGGCCCGGTAAGCATTCCAGACTCATACTGAGGACTAGGGGGCATTCCAGATACGAGCTGAGGGCCCGGTAGGCATTCCAGACGCGTACTGAGGGCTCGGTAGCAATCCAGATGTGAGCTGAGGTCCCGGTAGGTATTCCATACTCACACTGTAGGCCCAGGGGTATTCCAATCTGTAAAGCTGTGGACCCGTTATGTGCTTTTTTGCTCAGTTTGTTACGATATGTTAACGTGTGACACGGTTATGTGGACTGTATGTGTATCGGTATTTTGGGGGTAACTCACTAAGCTCTCGGGCTTACAGTTTCAGTTTTTTGTTTCAGGTACCTCAGGGCATCGCAGCAAGGCAAAACCATGATCGTACAGCTCCTCCTATTGTGTTATGTTTCTGGGAAAACTATGATATAAATGTATTTTGAAAACAAAGTTGTAATGTTTTGACGAATTCGACGTGTTTTTGAAAGTTTAAATTTGGCTTAAATTTTTGAGTGTTACAAAATGTAAATGTAGTCATGAAATGCGCCTACTTAATCAAGATTCCCCTAATAAATATTCAAGTGCATTACAAAGTTGTACATGCATGAATAATGTTCTTTCGTAGGTTATGTTTTGAAGAGAAGCAAGAATGAATCTCAAAAAGTCATTAATATCAGTAGGAGATGATGTGGGATTTGTTGTAAATGAGTAAAGGGAAAATGAATCAGGAGGGTAACCAACTGTTGCGTTTGTTCTCATTTGGTCCCTTTTCTTTTTTTTGTACTCAATATACCATCGAACTTGTTGTTTGTGTTCACCATAACCCTTTGACCGGCTATCACAGGTCAAAAGCCGGTCAAAAGGGCTATGGTAAACACCACCAACAAGTTCGATGGTATATTGAATACAAAAAAAAGAAAAGGAACCAAATGAGTACAAACGCAAAAGTTAATTACCCTCAAGAGTCATTTTCCCTTCTTTAAATGCATGTAAAATGATAACTTTATCTTTTCATCTTTTCATTTTCTATTATGTTTTTAACATTTAGCATTTCAATATGGTGTTGTCCGAGACGAAAAACCTCATATACATACATTCTTTTTCTTCAACTACGTTTTCTGTTTCGAACCAACATTTAGATACATATTACATTAGATCTATTTTCAATCATCTTTGTGTTCGAAATTCGAATGACTTGCAGATCCATGTTCAAAACCAAAGAATAACTAGAACATTCTTATCATCATCAAACAAAAAATGGAAGTCAAAGTCAAATTGGATGAAGACGAAGAATCTTTTACACAATTGGAACCAAATATCATTAAGGCGACAAAAACTTCATTTTGCATATAAGCTAACAAAACCAGAACCAAAACATTACACGTAGATCACTATTCTAAAATCTACTCGCTGTATTTCATGTAAGTTTGTTAACTATTAATGAATCGACGAGAACCCAATCAGGAAACTTCCTTTGAATGAAGCTCACATACATGGTGATGAACGTCATTTTCGGATTCGAATAATCTATCTAGGGGTGAGCATGGTGCGGTTCGGTGCGGATTTTGGTTAAAACCGAACCGAAAACCGCAACTTCGGTTTTTTGAAATTTAGAAACCGCACCGTTCGGTTTTATGCGGTTCGGTTTTTGCGGTTTTTTATTGCGGTTTTTTGCGGTTCGGTTTTTTTTGCGGTTTTCATTAGTTTTTTTTTTTTTTTTTCGTTTTGTCTTTTTACTAAAACTCAAGTAACTCAACGAGTTATTTTGACTCAGATGAGGAGTGTTAATCTTTTATTGGATATAAACCGATACCACCGTCTCTTGGTTCGAAATCAAATTACATAATCACTCATTCAATATGTTTCTGATGCTTCAATATAATACGAATTTAATATAATATTTGTTTCACAACTACATAGGATAATATCAATTAATGTATTCTTAAAAATGATACTATATCACTAGTACTATTCATATTTAAATATTAAAAAAATATCATAAACATTATTTGTTATTGTAAATACCACTGAATGTATGCTTAAAAATATAAAGTCTTCCTCGGATAGATAAGATAGATATTTACATTTATAAAAATTTTGATTGTCATAAGTTCTTGGTTATATATATATATATATATATATATATATATATATATATATATATATATATATATATATATATATATATATATATATATATGTGGTGCGGTGCGTTTGGTTTTTTGCGGTTTTTACGAGACTAGAAACCGCACCGCACCGAGTATTTTCGGTTTTTGCAAAACTAAAAACCGCACCATCGGTTTTCATTTCGGTTTCGGTTTTTCGGATTCGGTTTATGCGGTTTTTTCGGTTTTTTTGGTTTGCGGTTCTTTTTTTGCTCACCCCTAAATCTATCACGTTCCGCACATAAGAAACATGGTGGTTTTAAGACAAAAAAAAAGGGCTAATTTTGATGATCAAATAAGAGAGCATAGGCACCGAAGGTGAACGTTGGAAATGATGTTCATTGTCAGTAATTGTTCTGATAATATTTTTAATAACATCAGTGTCATATTGGATTAACTTCATGACCCAAATCGCATAAGGAAAAGACGATTAAGGAAATTATTCTCATAAATAATTAAAATGATTTAATCAATTAAAGAGATTGAATATTAATTAACCTGAACAATTAATTGGAATATTCTAAAACCTCTTGAAGAGTAACTAAGGATGGTTTTCATATCCCTTGTATATGGATATGATAAGTTTGAATCAGATAAAGATAAATCTTAGAGTTTGTATCCTTTTGGAATATTTATTGCTTAACTATAAATATTTTGCTAAGGTAAACCCTAGAGCCAATTTTTCCTTCAGTCTCTCTCTCTCTCTCTCTCTCTCTCTCTCTCTCTCTCCTTGGGCGAAAATCGCTTCATCACTCCTAGGGTTTGGTGATTTTCATATAAACCCTAGTTTGGGTTAAATCCTTTTGCCTTTTGGTGTTGTGGGTCTGATTCCATTAAAGGGGTGCTCTTTTGTATCATTCATTTTTGCAACAAGCTGGCACATACAATATCACAAGTAAGTGATAGTGAGGTTGATAATCCTTTACTTTTGTTATTTTTCAAAGTAGGTGGTTCTAACTAGTAAAACATAGATCCTAGGATGTATGTACACTTAGGTATATCTTTTGATAATTCCGGTACATATGAGTTTTGTACTTGAAACTATAAATCTCCAATAGTGAATGACATAAGAGAAGTCGACAAAGAGGGTGAATGGTGAAGGACAAGGTGGAGAGAGAATGGTGGTGATGTATGTTTCCTAAATGGTGGAGGTGGAGTATTAGTTGGAGACAAAGTTGATAATACTGCATATCCTCATATTAAAATCAACTACGATAGATAGGCGATGGTTTAGAGGTGAAGGGAGTTGGTAGTTTTAGAGCCATCGACATTGACGGTAGGGACGACCTAATGGGTGGGCAAGTAGCCGATTGGGGCACCAACTTTGGGGTATGTGTGTGTGTGTGTGTGTGTATACACACACACACACATATATATATATATATATTTACTTCTTATCTTTTTCTTTGGCACACTACACTCACGAAATCCTTGAGGTTCTGAGTAATACCAACTCTGGATGATGATTTCGAAAGTCTGGTATATGACTTCGCTTTAAATCCCAAAAGTGAAAGAGCCTAACCTCCATCCGAAGGTTGCTGACGATTCATATTACATTGGGGGAAATAAACAGGTTGTGAGAAGTGACATCTTGTATTATATCTAGTTTTCAAGGAGAAGTGACAGTTACTTTTTCACGCGTGGCTACTTTATCGGCATAGTGGTGCGAGTTTCAAGGTTCAACGCCGGATTTCATTAAATGCACATCCCGCTTCAAATTCAAATATCAGGGTTACATATAAAAAGGAATTCAAGGGTTTATTATCAGTTTATGCTTTCAGAAGAAAAATTCCCAATTTCTCTTAGAAAAATCCAATTGTTTTTCATATGATTTTACAACCCTAGTCATGGCTGATCAAACTAATGTTGACACACCATCCCAAACCACAGAAGATGTTACATCTTTACCAATCATGAAGATTTAAGGCACAAACTATCAGTTAGAAGCGGATGAATCCCTTTACCCTAAAGGATTGATGATGTTGGTGGTTTCCCTAAAGAGTTGTGTTCTTTCGACAACTATGTTTAATTATTTTGCAGTACCTTTATCCTGGCTTTCACAAGCAGGTTCTACAACAACATACTCTAAAGCCCTAGATGTCATCACATTCAACTTGGTGAATGATAAGAAGGTACAATTGACGAAGAAGCTGTTTTGTCAAATTTTGGATATTCCAAACTCTCAACCGTTTACTACTCTTTCGACTGATCTAGTGAACTACATGTTCAATGAAATGGGTCATCGACCCCCACTCACAAAGATTAGTGATTTTAAAAAATCTAGTCTTCCGACGATCTGGAATTTCTTGTTTGGAATCTTTCTACGATGCTTAACAGGTCGAAGTGTTGGGCTTGATAAAGGACGTATGGAAGTCTATGCAATGGTTGCAGGTATCTATTATGATATACCGGTGGATTACTCTACACAGTTATGTAAAGAATTTCAAAAAAGTGTAGAAAATATGAATGTCGTGCAAGGTATTTCGTGCGCACGATATTGGAGTCTTATCCTCTGATATTTTTTATGATAAAGAGGGAATTATGGTGGATGCTGAGGAGGAAACTACAAATTTCTTGAAGTATACTTTTCCTAAAGAAGTGTCTGATGATCAAGAAATTTTTTCACATGTTGCACGAATCCCAGATGCCATGTTGAAAAAGGTTGATCCAACGAATGTTGTGCTTATTGATTATAGGACAACAATTGATCCTAGGAAGTTGTTAATGAAAGAAGGTGCGGGTCATTTGAAGAAATCTAAAACAACAAAGAAAGTTGTGATTGTCAATCATGAGCCAAATGTATAAGAAACAAAGCAATTGAAGTTTTCAAAGAAAACAACGAAGCCAGATGAGTTAGTTTCGAAAGCTGTGGTAAAACATGTTGAACCTGTTGTTCCAGAACCAACTTCAGTTACAATTCCTTCTAAGACTGGAGTTTTTCGAAGATTAAAGCTGAAGTATGGTGGATCTCCTACTTCGAATGTGGTTCGCAAGCCTCATATTACTCATCAAGGTGTAGTTATGCGTGAAGTCCCAGCTCCAGTTTCTCCTCACTCAAAGAAACGAAGGGCTGAAGATATGGCTAAGAAGATTTCAAAGAAAAAGAAGAAGACAAAGAAGAGACAGTTAGTAATTCCAACGGAATCATCCAAAGAAGAAGAAGGGCTTGAAACACCCGAACTCGAACCTATTATAGAGCCTACTTTTCCTGAGAAGATTGTTGTCATACAACCCGAAGTTTCGTCTACCAAATCATCTCATGATGACGTACGAACTTTAGACATCAATGCAAACGTATCTGATACAGGTGTAAATGTCATCATGGGTGAAGGAGATTTATCAAAGGAAACTACTCAACCTCCACAAGGTACTCCAATTACTATTTCTGTCGAACCCATTACTAGTACCTTTGTTTCTTTACCTCCATATATCATCCCTACTACTTCCACCACTGATTCACCAACCTTTCAAAACATCATCGACCAACCCTTTACATCCATTTTCTCATCTCAATCCAATCATCCACCCAAAGCGAATGATGAATCTGATAACGAAGAAGGTGGCTTTGGAGGTACTTCTGAAGATATGGCTTTTGATGAAGAAGAAGAGGATTTCCCGGACCATATGCTCATGTCTATGAAACAATTCAAAATTCTGAATAAAAAGCAAAATTCAATTATTCAGTCTCAAGCCGACATGGGGGGAGGAAGTTCATCTTCTACTTTTGAAATTGATGAGCTGATGAAAGCTTTTGAGGCAAGAATGGTAAGTAGAGTGTCTGGTATGATCAAAGACTCAGAATCAAGAATCCTGGAGAAGGTAGATCATGCTGATCAGACAACGTAGTCAAGGATAAATTCTTTTAACTTGAAGTATGTCGGAGCTGTGAAAGAATTAACGAACATTCAAAAGGAACAACATATATTGTTCGTTATCGATGTAAAGAAAGTAAGAGAAGATGTTAATTTGAAGCATCAAGAGCTTCAAGATGACATGGTTCGTGAAGTTGCTGCTATTCAAAATGACTATGCCAATTTACACAAGAAAGTCGATATCATTTGTGATGCTGTCACAAAATACATTAATTTGTACGAAAGCTTGAGTCCTCAAATTACTCAACTTTCTACAACTGACAATCAATAGCTGGGGGAGGTTATTTTGATACTCAAAGATTTAAAGGATTCAATGCTCAAGCCTGCTGCATCTTCCATAATTACTCCGTAGTTCCTTTCCCAAAAGTTTACACAGTTTGAAGCCGTACTCCACAAACAATTAGCTCCCCTGTCAACCATCTCGAATATTTTGCCAACTGGTGCCCCACCTATTCGAATAGGAGTGCAAGGGGGAGAAAAGAGAGTTGGAGAAGGATCTCATGTGAAGGCTGGAGGTGATGCTTTACATGGAGAAGCTAAAGTTGTTGGCAAAGTGTATCCTTCAAAAATTCCATTGACTAAGCCTACAATTTCGAGTGCTGGAACAGTTACTTCAACTATTGTAACGTCCATGCCAATCACAAAGTTGATTTACGAAGGGGATGTTTATTGGTTTATCCACTGAACAAGGTGAGGCTTCGAAAACAAAACATGCTACAGATAAATCAACAGACAAAGGAAAGTGATTGTTGTTGAGAAATCAAAAGAAGAGAAGAAAGCAGAGGTCGAAGCAGAGATTGAAAAGCTAAGGGTAGTTCAGAGCATAATGAGGCAAAGGGCGAGTGATCCTCCAGGTTTGAATAAAGGAGATACTGCCAAACATTATAACTACGAAACGATTGAAGCGAAGGTTGCATTCAAACACATGTATCCATTCAAAAAGAAACCAAAACAGAGTTATGGGGTTTTTAATGCAGACATGAGTCAGCTTGACTTCCCGATTAATGAGATGATGTTCCTCATGCCTCAATTCAAAATCCATAATAAATATAAAAGCGAAAATGATTACAACTATATGAAGCTTCGTTTTCGTGCAATTCTTACAATGGCTCTAGAGGAAATTTGGTCACTGATAAAAATCAAGAAGGTTATAAGCATCAAGATGGACGTATTATTCGAAGATATGATGCAGAATGTGAGATTAATTGTTGCAAGGGAGAATGTTCAGACTTGTGATTTCACAGTCGTAGATTTTCCTCTCATGAATCCGTATGACCTTATATAAATGGCTCTTCTCCTAAAAGATAAAATTACCTCATACCTTCGAGAAACTAAACCGGATGTTTTTCGAGTGGGAGTGGCTCACATCAATATTTTCTTGGAGAATTATTACGAGTGTTTAGCACTTACAGATGTGGAGCTAGCAACAGTGAAAGGGCTTGAAGTCAAAGTACCCATGGAGCCATCCAAATCTCAACAAGAATTGAAGAAATATGCTAATGAGGAAATATGTTTGAAACCATTTGGTATGGTATTTGCTGGGAAAGACAAAGTTGGAAAGTCGAAGAGATTTTTGTTCCAAGCTGCTGAAATCGAAAGATATGCAACATCCCAATATACGAACTTCATTGTTCGTATGAACAATTGTAAGAAAATAATGAAGGGGATAAGAAGGAGCTGAAGAAGATAATATCTTGGTACACAGAAGTTCGAAGGGTGATGATGCATGCCATCCAAATTCTCACAACCTGAGAATTCGACTTCATTCCAAAGGGGGAGATTGTTAGGGTCGAATACATTTTGTAATGAGTCGAAGACCATACCCTTCGTGTACTTTGTAATGTATTTACTAAGGCGTCTTATATGTTCGAAGCTTAATTGTCATGTCTTAGTATTTTTTGTATACTTTCCTATTCCCTATAAATAGGAACTTTACTTAGAGTTAGATCAGAAGTCTTTACAAAACTTGTCTTTGTACTCTCTGTAAAACTGTGAAAGTATACTAGAGCTGAAACAAGATCATATTTACATCTCGTGTTCTTTCATATCGTTTTAACTTTGATTTCATTCTTATTACTTGATTAACGATTCATCAGAGTCTAATCATCCTCGCAATGGAATACTCACGACCCACAACCATCAGTTTGGAATTTCCCAGGTCTATTGGCTTTCACACAAAACAGATAAGCCTTAACCAGCAATCAAATATATGAGCATGTAACAAATAATCACATAACATTCTATAGACAGATAAACCGATCTAACGAATTAGAGCAACATAATAACATCCTATCTACCAGGATACTGATCTAACAGTTCATAATAGCATATACCATCCAATCTACCAAGATACCAATCTAACAGATCATATTAGCATAACATATGAGGATAACAATCCAAACAGCTAGTCTTGGTGCCTTCGACCCTTGAGTATAGTAAGGAAAAGTCACCTCACACTGCTGAAGTCCCACGGATAAAACTTTAGCTGCTGGTTGAAAGATTCCCGAGCTATCAACATAAATGCAAAACCCAATTAATAATTGGGTTCCAAGCCCAAGGTCCAACTCACACTCCATAGGCCCAACAATCAACCAATGGACCAAAGCCCAAAATATGGCCTAATTTTCCAAATTGGACCCAAACCTCTACATGGTCTTACCATAAGGCCCATCCTTTTATTCTAGTCCAACTCTTGGTATTCCCATGGCCCAATATCACATAGTCATCAAGGCCCCGTTATGGCCCACCTATGGCCCAATTTTCCAAATTTGGTCCAAGTCCTTCACATGGGCCTTATACTAAAGCTCATACAGTTATTTTGGTCCATTTACTTGTTCTTGGATAGCCCATCAATAGTTCAATCGCCAAATCCTAATAGGAAGGCCCAACTCAAGGCCCAAGTGAAATTAGGGTTCTCACATGAAATGACAATTAGCGTTAAGTTTTCCTACTTAACCCATTAAGGACTTAATCCATTAAGTTCAATATTGAATTAGGTTAATTGAAAATGATTATTTATTAATTATTTTAAGTTTATTAAATAATTCAAGTGCGGGTCCCAATCAAATTCCCAAAATTAGGGTTTCAAGACATCAGGGTTTTCCAAACCCTAATTAGGTTTTCCAAACCCTAATTAGGTTTTCCAACCCAAATACTAGCCCATTAGTCACATGGTTGGGATTTTAGGTCAAGTAGGGCTTCATTGGGCCTATTAGGGTTTTATTAAGCCTACTAGGGTTTCATTAGTTGGGCACCACCTGCTACCACCTCGGGTAGTGGTGGTCAACGACGGCCACTACCTCACGGTGGTGGTTATGGTTCTAGTCTATTTTTTTGTCCAGGCATCCCAAACTTAATCTAACACATACAAGGCACGCCGCCACCAACACGGCGGCTTGTGGCGGAAGGAGGCGATAGCTACCACCCTACGATTATGGTTATGAGTTTTCTTTATTATTTCAGTTACAAATTACAATAAAACACACAATATCACAAAAATAAACACCCAATAATTCACACACAACCACCTTATGGCGGCAGGCAGTTGTAGAGATGGGAAGCCACCACCTCACAGTGATGGTGGTGGTTGTTCTCGTGGATTCGGGCCAAACAAACACCACATACATGAAATAACACCTACACCACACGAACCTGAAGCATCAGCACACTTGTACCCACGTGAAACATGAACACAACATCCCTTCAGAGTGGAAAACAGCGGAATAGAAGTGGCTAACAATGGCGGCCACCACCTCACCATGGTGGCGGTGGTTTCTTTTGGTTCCCTATCAAGCAGCAACACACACCAACAATCCCTTGATCGGAATTATGGACGCAACCACTGGGTTATGCACTCAATCAATGACTTGTGGTAGCCTTTGGTGTTTTGATATGACAGCCACCACCTCACGGTGGTGGTGGTGGCGGGTATCTTTATTCATGTCCACAAAATGTACCTGCTTCATTATTAGTTCCGGAAACAGCCGTTAAAGGCAAACACACACGCATTCAGCCGCCTACAAGGTGGCAGGACATCACCGGAATGCCACAGAAATGGCGACCAACGGCAGCGGCGGCCCAAAACGACGACCATAGGGTTGCCAATGGAAGCAACTGACGTACACGATGCCGATTCACCAAGAATAGCGAAGGAGAGGTGGAAGATGGGTTTACCAGTGGTTTTCCGGTTGCTCACGACCCTCGTAGCAACAAAACCCAGTTCAGTCATCGGTCTCGGCAGCTATCCCATCTGAACACGGCGTTTCCGGTAGTGGAGCTGCGACGGCATTGATCCTCAGCGAAGCAGCGGCGATTGAAGACGTTCCAAGGGTAGTGTGGATGGGGAAATGACAATCTAGGGTTAGGTTTAAACAATGCAACATAAGGGAAGGAATACGTTGGGTTACAGTCCCGCTATAATCAAACCTTTGGACATTTGATGAGTTTGGTCCCTCCCCATTAGACTCTTTTCAACCAAGGTCCAAAATCACCATTTGTACCCTATTTTCTAAAAGCCCTTTCAAATCAAGTCCACATTTTACCCAACAGCCCTTAGTTTCCAAAATCTCTTCAAATTAAGTCCCAATAATTTACCAAGTAGTCCCTGCCTTCATAAATATTTACAAAACCACTCCGGAACTTACACTTTTAACCATAACATCAAAAATTGTGATAGTTAGCTCCTTAAGACCAACACCTTACTATGTAATTATTGATTTTAGGGCTACTATACTTTCATTTATTTATTTATTTGTTTATTTAATAAATGGGATGTTACAAATCTCCCTACTTAAATTAGATTTCATCCTCGAAATCATTCCCTTACCATTCCTTACACACCCAACCACCCAAGTAACATAGCCATAATCCTGAGTATACTCTGGCCTTCCCAAGGCAATCACAACTAACCCTAACAAGGTTTTAAAACCCGAAGATGGAAGAATTCCTTGCAATATGATCATATTTACTCAATCCGAAATTGGAAGTTTCGAGATGGTCTGGCTCCCTAACAGACCGCCAACACTGAATCATTGGAGAATTCATTGAACTTCACTCCCAACCGGTTACTCAACTTCTGATAACCTGAGGTTCCTACTATAAGATAGAGTCACAGACCAAATTTCCCTATAGTAAACTTATACTTGATAGAAAACTCATCTGGAATACCGAATTCCTACCCATTTGTTGAACCAACGAGTAATCTTACAGCCGCTCCACACGACCTTCGAGGGAAACTACGACTAGCAATAGCTGGCCAAGCTATATCACCACTCATGGCACCATCAATCCTTCTGGTCCATCCAATCGTAATAGTCAGACAACCTTTCACCACCAAATCTAATGTAAAGATTTAATGCTACCAGAATAACTGTAGTCTTACATCATGCACGGTTTCCAACAACCTACCGTTTCCTGATTCTAATCATACCATGGTCGACCCATAATCTTTTGAACTAGCCTACCCCGACCTAATCATCTGAAGGAACTCGTGAATGCTACAATTACCCTCGCAGTCTTACAACACTTTCATCACAACACAAACACAGCCCGATGCGTTACCCTCAATCTACCAATCCAAATACCCTCAAAGTCGAGAAAACACTCGACCAAACACCTGAACTAAACTCAAGTCATGACTAGAACCCCAACATGATTTCCCAAATTCTGCTATCAATCACCGAGAAG